CCTCCGTCATTTTCAATTAGGACAACCATCAAGCATCGCTTATCAATTATCATTCATTTGTTATTCCCAACCACTTCTCCACTAATTTCACTTTCAAAATACCATCTAAGAGCGCACTAAAATTATATCATCTGGTATCAGAGTCCGACAAACACTAAATTTTTAGTGATTTGTCTTGCTTGCCAACAAAAAAAACATATAATCTAATATAACACTCCCACATCAGAAAAAAAAAATCACCACTATTATAACCATTCCTATCATAATTTTTACTAATAATCCTAAATTTTCAAAAAGCAACATTCCTACCTATATAAAAGACCAACCCTGAAAATTGCCATTAAAACTCTGTGCCATCAACTAACCTTGGTTTACAACCCTACACTCGCCAAAACTTATGATCGGGAAAAAATAACAAATTGCCACAGGAGAAACACTCAAAGAGGTGTCCAAAATTTTATTTGGAAAAAGTGCAATAGAAATATCTCCAACTGCAACAAAGGCTTGCCTCCTTTGACAAGGGACAACCAAAAAAAAAAAAAAAATACTCATAGCTACAACGGTGACTCACAAGTTCGAGATGAGAATGTAAATCATTTCCACCATAAAATTTTCAGTGACAAAAAATCAATACCCGGATGATTTTCCACGGAATATTAGAGAAGGGAGGATTTCAGAGTAAGATTAACTTGCCATATTTTGACAGACGTTTGGATCCGAATAAATTCATGGAATGACTCTAAATAGAGAAATCAAATTTTAAGTATAAGGACATTTTTCAAGACAAGGGAATTAAATTAACAACCATCAATTTTAGGATGAATGCTTCTTTTTGATAGAAGAACCTAAAGCATATAGGATAATAGGAGGGAAGAGTAAAATCGCCACAATCTAGGATTAAAAGGGAGATGCAACACAAATATCTTCCCATATATTACCAACGAGATTAAAAGGATCCTTTAAACAAGTCCATGACAGAGTAAGAGTGACTTCACTATTTTTTTTACATGTTGCACCGTGGAAGGAAAGACGTGCAATATCATTATTAATGGAGACAATTATGAAAATGTGATATCTACATAAATGGTGGATAAATTAAGCCTCATAACTCAGAAGTATTTTTAGTCATATTCTCTGATTTTGATTGAAGAGGAATAAGGTCAGCATTGACAAGAGATATTTGATAGAATTTTCAATTGGAGACAAGTTGCAGAATTAGGTTTAGTTTGATGTCATGCCCCAATCCTTTTAGGTATACCTCAACCTACCTTAACATAAGTCAAATCTAAAACATCTAGTCACCTGACAGGATGATCAGATGGTCTGGGTTTAATGTGACCAAACCATTTAAGATGACTATCTCTAAACTTGCCCATCACTGGAGCTAAACCAACCCTATCACGGAATTATTTATTTTGCATATTATATAAAGTGTGAAGGCTTTTAAGATTTTAGCAAAACATTACCAAGATTTTCTAGCATAGATCAGCGACGTCACAAAGGAGCCGAATAAGTTGAAATATATACCAATAGTAAAAAAAATATTAATAAGTTGAAATATATACTAATAGTAAAAAAAATATCCAAAAGTTTTTTAGATGATTTGCCTGGCTTACCTCCAATTAGAGAGAAATTTATTTATTGACTTGATACAATTGCAGAATCAGTAGCAAAGATAATCATACAAAATAACCAAAAAAAAAAAAAAAGAATTGCAATAACTAAATAATCAATTACAAGATTGTTGGAGAATGATTTTATCAAGTCGAATACATCACATTGGGCGCCCTAATGTTTTTTTTAAAGAAGAAGAAAGAAAATCTTAAAGTTATGCATTGAACATAGAGAATTAAATAAGCTCACAATTAAAAACAAACATATACTACCAATGATTGATGATCTTTTTTTATCAGTTAGACGACTTATTTTTGAAAAAAAATTGATATACGATCAAGCTATCATTAATTGAGAATTAAAGAGGATGGCATAGCAAAGATAGTATTCAATACAAGATATAAACATTATGAATTTGTAGTGATGTCATTTGGGTTATCGAATGCACCTACAGTCTTTATAAATCTTATGAACATAATAATTTTTAAATCATTTCTAAATAAATTGGTATTTGTCTTCATAGGAGACATTCAAATATATTCAAGCGACGAAGCAAATTATGCAGATCATCTTTGCACAATTTCGTAGGAACTAAGGAAAACAAGTTGCATGATAAGTTATCAAAATGTGAATTCTGGTTGAAGAACACAACATTGTTGAGACATGTGATCAATAATGAGTATATTCTAGTAGATCAAAAAAAGGTTACAACAATAACTGATTGGCCTAGACAACCTACTCTCACAGAGATCAAGAGTTTCCTAGGTCTGGCAAACTATTACAAGAGATTTGTCGAGGGTTTTTCTCAACTTGTTATGCATTTGTTTAGATTGACTCAAAAGACCGTGAAATTTGAGTAGACAGATTATGGTTACAAAATGTTTACAAGTGGAATACATGCTTAATGAAAGCGTCAATATTAATAATTTCCTTGGGAATAGAGAAATTGAAGATTTAAAATGATGTTTCTTAAGAGGACTTGCATTTATTCCTATGCAACAAGGGAAGATAATTGCTTGATTCTAGAATATTAAAGAATCACAAGAAAAAATATCCCATGAAAGACTTAGAATTAGCAAGAGTTGTAATTGTTTTAAAGATATGAATGCAATAATTGTATAGAATAAAGTGTGAAGTGTTTATGAATCATCAAAGATTAAAATATTTTTCCACACAATGAATTGAATTCAAGGCAAACAAAATCGCTTAAGTTCATTAAAGTCTATTAGTTGGATATATAATATCATCCAAGGAAGCAAATGTAATTACAACTACCATAAGCAGATAGACGGGTTGAAGGGTAAATTAGGTAATTTCACAACAAGAGCATCTAATTAAAAATATAAAATGTTTGCAATTATCAGTAGTGACACCAAATAATAAAAGCTTTGTATTATTAAATTAAATGTCAATTCAGTTAACTTTGAAGGATAAAATATGAGATACATTCTCACAAGATGTGAGTTTAAGAAAATTTTAGACCGGGTGAATGCAGGTCAAATGAAGTAGTATGAGATAGATGTGAAAAATTGTTAAATGTATTGCATTCTTGTTACTAATAATTTCCGAAAGAAAATTTAACATGAATCATTTTTTTTAGAATACACAATATATACAAGAAGCAATAGAATATACCAGGAGCTCAAAGGATTATTTTGGACAGGGTCGAAGCGTAAAGTAGCAGAGTTTATGGCAAGATATCTTATTTGTCAGATGGTTAAAGCTATGCATCAAAAGCTTAGCAAGATACCATAACAGTTGTCTATCCCAAAATGGAAGTAAGAGGCATTGCTATGAATTTTTTTATTGGACTACCATAATCAAAGTAGGGTTGTGATTTTGAGTGATTATTAATCGTGTGACAATATCTGCATATTTCTTACCTATCAAACATATTGATTTTGTGGCTAAGTTGACCAAAATTATGTAACAGAAAATGCGCAATTGCATGGAGTCCCAAAGTCAATAATTTAAGAACAAGACAATAAATTCATATCTATATTATGGAGAAAAGTTCATGTTTTAGGTAAACAAATAATTTTCAATACAACAATTCATCCCAAAATAGATGATCAATCCAAAAAAGAAAAAAAAAGAAAACGAACAAAATATTACAAAATTCACTTAACTCTGCGCGCTTGATTTTGGTAAAAATTAGACAAATGCATGTACCCTTGATAGAATTAGCCTATAGTAATAGCTTTCAGATTAGTAATGGCATGACTGCTACTGAGACATTTTATTAAAGAGTACATAACACCACAGTGCTAGGAAAAAAATGATGAAACAAAAATAACTGTGCTGAGTTCGTAGACGAACCGCTGAGAAAATTTGATTAATTCGTGATAGTTGAAGGCAATTCAAGATATAAAGAAAAAATACTTTACATTGCACTTATTACGAAAAATGTTATGCCTTAGCATCGGTGGGGTGAGTGGCCATTGGTTAGTTAGGGGATTATGTGTGGTTGGTTGTACGTGTATTTGGAAGGCAAGATCATGGAGAATGTAGGGTTGGCAAGTGGTAGAGAAATGTGAGGGTGGTAGGCAGCTAGAGGAGTGGTAGGGGTTGGAGAGTAGTTGCAAAGGAGTTTGGAGTTACAAGACCATCTCAAAGCAGGATACAGCCGAAGCACCACACAAAAAATTAGAAGATAACTCTACTAGAACTGCCTCCCACACACTTAGGAGTTAGCAATTTATAGAATCCTACTTCTAAACAAGAGGAAAGTGGTGGAAAAGACGAAGAATCCGGAACAGACTTTCCAGAAAAAGATATGGTGCGAAAAGCTCAACTGAATCACGAGAATTCGCGATCACAACCTCTGTCGCGGGTTCTCCAACCTTCGCGAGGCCACGAATCCTCGCTATCGCGGGGCTTCGGCACTGCTAATTCAAAGCACCCTGCTTCGGGGCACTATTATTCACCCAAATTTGGGCACCGTTCCAAGCAACTACATCATGCTTCATGAAGAATAATTTTAAAAACACAAATAACATTTAACAAGAATGAAGAAAAAACAAGAACTTAAATAGTTGGGATAAAGCTATAGACGTTGATGAGAAAACCCCAGTAACATGATCATTTTTTTCATAAAAGCTAACTGTGTGTGAGAATTCAAAACATAATTTTGAGATGAATCTCTGTTATTATTTTTCTAATATTTTCAATACCCTTGGTATATCAGATTTAGGGCTACAACTAGAGCAGAGAGGTGGTGCAGAAAGTGATCTAGCACAGCCTGATCACCATAAGCACATTGCCAGTAAAAAATATAAATTTTAAGAAAACCACCATGCACATAACCTTCCTCAAAATTAGCATGGGCACAAATCCCAAAGATGAAAAAAGTTATAGAAAATAAAGGCAATGTTTCCCTGACATACCAAATCAAGATTGTCATAGTTTTCATCCCAATATTCATCAAATTTGCTCCCCAACCAATCCTCAAGTTTGGCATACGCTTCGCAATCCTGAAAACCCTGTTTGTTGTTTAGCACCCAAACATGTCCATTCCCATTGTGCTATATGAAAAAAAAAAAGAAACAAAGCTGAATAAGAATTGCAATTTTCCAGGAAAATCAGGATAGAAGTCATTATATGCTAAAAATAAAAACTATCTAGAAATACCATAATAGATGTTACATCTGCAACTCCTATGACTCCACGGCCCAAATCTGCATTGTGCTGCATACCACCAACTCGTTTGTATGCCTAGATAAGTTATGGAACTTTACGAATTCAGAAAAATTGCAATGCTTATGCAAAAAAGAAAGTCAACAGATTAAGCTTCACAGATAATATCTTCAGCGCAAATAGCAATATACCAAGTAATCAAAAAATAGATAATGATTCAAGAAAGAAAAAGCAGAATTGATGAATAAGCAGAATACATCATAACTTTGTTCAAAATGCTTCCATTATTATCCTATAGTTTCTATAGCAAAACATATTTTGAAACACAGTCCATTCAACCATCAACCATCCCTGAGAGAAGAGCATATCATCTAACTAAAGCAAACCAATTCTGCTAATATTGTAAGATCTTTACCTTCCCCCTATTGTTTTATAGCCTGAGTATCTTAATTTCCTGACAATTACAAAGTACAAACACTCCTCTTTTTTATTTTTATATTTTTACTGTTCTATGATGCCTTTAAAATTTGAATGTATAGCATTAGTGTCTTCAACCAAATATAGGCAGATACCACTTAACATGTAATTAGTATTAGGCATGCCAAATTGGATTGATGAGTCGGCTTCAATCAAATTGTTTGTCAGGAAACGCAATTTCGAACCAAATTGAACCAATCCCATTTGATAAACAAGCCAAGTAGAACAAACCAAAACAGCTTTTCAATAAAAGTGTGGCATGATGCAATCCTTGTATCCCATTCAAGATTGATTAAATAATATCATTTTTAGTCCTCAGTTAATAGATGGATAATAACAATGTAAACAGACTGAATGAGCCATGCCAAGGTTCAACTTGACCAATAACCATCCAGAAATGTTGGATCATCTAGGATTTGGGAATAAAACAGGATAATAGTATTATATCAAAAGTGGTATAAATACATAAATCAAAGAGTATAAATAAGGAAAGATATAATACCCAAATTTCTCCTAATAACACCCAAAAGATAAAAAGGAATGTCATAAACTAGGAAATACATAGAAAGAAAAATAACAAGAAAGGAAACAAATAAATAAAACAGAATAAAAATACATAACTCACAACATGCCCCCTCAAGTTGAATTATATATGTCAATCTTATTCAACTTGGACTTGAATTCGTCAAATGACCAAGGAGAATTACTCGTGAGAATATTTTCTAGTTGACCAGTGGATCGGACAAGTTGAATATATATCACCAAGGAATCAAGCTTCTCATTGATAAAACAACGGTCAATCTTGATATGCTTGGTACAATCATGTTGGACCGGATTATGAGCACCTTTATTGTCACAAAACAGTTGTAGAGGTACAGTGACCGACATATGTATCTCGCAGAGCATGATGCAAAACCAAAGACCTTCACATACCTCTAGGGACAGATGAAGCTCAGCTTCAGTACTGCGCTAGGCAAGCAAGGACTATTTTCTACTTTTCCATGTAACAAGGTTTCCCCACATGAAGGAGCAATAATTTGAGGTAGATCGTCGATCATGTATGGACTCGACCCAATCTTTGTCCATATAAAATACAACAGAGCGAAAGGTGTGACAAGAAGACAACAAACCTGAGCCCGATGTGCCTTCTAAGTAATGAAGGATCCAATGGATAACAGTGAGATGATGCTCGTAAGATTCAAACATAAACTGACTGGCAATACCAATATTGTGACAAATGTTCGGGTGCATATGTGCTAGGTAAATGAGTTACCCCACTAGTCCTTGCTAGTGTGTCTTCTTCAACTGAACGACATTGGGAACGTCTGTCAATTTCTCATGGGGATCCATCAAAACAGCTATTGGTTTGCACATAAGTAGCATTGTCTCAGTTAGTAAATATGTCACATATTTGCACTGAGAAAGGTTAATGCTCCAAAAGGACCAAACTACTTTCATACCTAGGAAATACTGGAGAGAACCCGAGTCCATCTCAAAAGATGTGTACATAATAACTTTAAGGGATTCCAAGGCCGGCAGATCATTACATGTGAGTATGATATCATCGACATGGATGATGAGGATAGCAATAAGGTCATCTGCTGAGTGGTCGAAGAATATTGTGTGATCATACTGGGCTTGTGAGAAATCATGACCCACAAAAAGTTTTATAAACTAGTCGAACTAGGCCCGAGGGTTGTTTCAATCCATAAAAGACTTTCATAGTTGGCACACTTGTCCACGAGGAGCTTGAGTCAAAGCCTGGAAGGAGAGACAAATACATCCACTCTGCGGGATCAATGTTAAGAAAACATTCTTGACATCCAATTGAAGTAAAGGCCAATCCAGACAAGGAACAACAGAACCTTAATGGTATTTGGTTTAGCCACCAGACCAAATATCTCATCATAGTCAATTCCATAGGTTTGTGAATAATCTTTGACAGTCAATCGTGCCTTGATGCATTCAAAGTATTCATTGAAGTTAAATTTTGTGTTGAAAATCCACCTGCAACTTATTGTTTTCTTTCCTCAAGGAAGATAAAAAATATCCCACGTATGATTGCGCTGAAGGGCATTCATCTCGTCCATGACTACAAACTTCCGGGACAGGTCATAAAATATTGCTTCAATAGTGGATGGGAGACGACGATTCATCAAGGAAGCGGCAAAGGCTTCGTAGGACTGAGATAAATTGTGGAATAAGACATATTTTTCTACGGAATAAAGAGTGCATACATGTTTTGCAAACCTCAATGGCGGAATTCAACTCCTCATTCAAACTAGGAGTGATGCCCGTAAGTTGAGAGAGCATCGTTTCAGAGATGTCGGTCGAAGCGGATTCCGAGACTTGTAGTGTGTCAGCAAGCTCAAGTGTAGGGGCATTGGGACGAGTCTCAACCGTGGGTTTGGTACATCGAGTGTAGGCACGTAGAGTGGATGGAGATGATGCTCAGGTTGATGTTGAATCCAGTGGGACTAAAGGTTCCTCAGACACAGAGGCTATAGGAGTATGTAGAATATCCAATAGAGTTGGAAAACAATAGTGTCCAAAAAATTTAGCTCCTCCTAACTCAAGACAGTGAGAGGAAGTAGGGGACATTTTAAAAAAATGAGACATTGACACTCACATAGATTTTACTTGTGGAAGGATAAAAACACCTATAGTCCTTTTGAGCAGCTAAATAGCCGAATAACACACATTTAATCAAGCGAGGATCAAGTTTACTCCGAGTTGGGATAGTGTTCCAAACAATGGTCATACCCACCCAAATATTTTAGGATCTAATGTGGGGAAGAACCGAATTGTAGGAAAACACAACATCAAGATGGATAACTGGGTACGAAAGTTGTGAATTTATGTGCAAATTTTATTAATGAGATAGGTGGCGGTAAGGAAGGCTTCATTCCAAAATCTTTTAGGGGCATTAGTTTAATACATGATGGAACAACAACTTAGGTGTCGTTTTTTTTCGCTGATTGCACTATTTTGTTGAGGGATATCCGTACAGGAGCTATGATAGAGGATGTCATTACTAATCATTAACTCTTCCAAAATAGAGTTAAGGTACTCACAATCATTGTTGACCAAAGGACTTGAATGGAGATTTTGAATTGGATAAAAATAAATGAATAAAAGTTTTTGAAGGTCATTGCAGCTTCAGATTTGTCATTTAATGTTTAGACTCGCGTCCTCTGAGTATGGTCATCAATTAGATTAAAAAACCATCATTTATAGTACAGCTTGCAGTTCGAGAATGTCACCATCAATCACTAGGAATCACTGAAAATGGAGGAGTGCAACATTAAGGTGGATATGTAACACGATGATGTTTAGCTAAATAACAAATTTTACATTTAAAAGTACATGGATTCTTATCAATAAACATCAGAGGATACAATTGTTTTAAATAGTGAAAACTAGACCCAAACGACAATATAACGACAAAATTAGACAAGCAATAAAAAAGATAAAAACAATAACTACGAGATCGAGTGTTTGCATCATCAAAGACATTTTCTTGAAAAGGATAGAGCCCCATTGCCCGCTTAAAAGCTACTATCATTCTCCCCGAACAACGATCCTAAAAGCCACAAACATCTGGAGAGAAATGAGAAACTCAATAAATATTATATGTCAACTTATTGACCGATAAGAGGTTACACTTAAGCAAATTTATGTGTAACACGGATCCCGAAGTCAGCCCAGTCGCTAGTACAACCGACTATTTACCCAAAATAGAATTACAAGAGCCTTCAGTGAGTTTAATAGAGTCTAGCCTAGAGCACAAAGAATATGTCGAAAGGAATTGAGAGCACTTGAACATATGGTCCATGACACCTGAATCAATAATCCACGGACTAGAAGAGTAAAAATCAACAAGTGTCATAGAAAGGATATCTTGACGAACATGGGAGGTCAATGGGCCGAAGGAGAAATAAGTAGATCAAAGTAGCATAACTAAGCGTTTCAACTGACTCATGATGGAGTCTAGCGATTCGGGGATGGTCTGAGTGGGAGCCGACTGAATGGATATAGATTTAGCAGTGAAAGATTTGGTTGAATATTTATTGGTTGGCCTCTCGTGGAACTTCCAACACTTGTCTTAGGTATGGTAGGGTTTGTGAAAAAAATCACATGAGTGTTTGGTGTGCGATGATGTAGTAGAGTATAAAGCACTGCTGGAGACCAAGGTTGAAGATTCGGTTGAATTAATGTCAGCTATAGAGCATGACAAGTTTCCAACTTTCTTCGCGGCGGACCTCAATGAATGCTGCCCGGGTTAAAGAGGATCCCGATGAAGTATACGACCGCTGACTTCGTCGCGGTCCTTGTTCAGTTGAAGATTCGGTTGAATTAATGTCAGCTATAGAGCATGACAAGTTTCCAACTTTCTTCGCTGCGGACCTCAGTGAATGCTGCCCGGGTTAAAGAGGATCCCGACGAAGTATACGACCGCTGACTTCGTCGAGGTCCTTGTTCAGGCTCGCCAGAAATTATAAAACAACCATTTTCAGATTTTTTTTGGAAAAGGGAAACATCAGCGAGAGAGTCTCAAGTGTAATCATAGTAAAGATCACAATCCATCCATAAGGCAACTA